CATGTATATTTGCATGCCAAGTTGCTCAGCAAGGTCTTCTCTGACCATTAAATTAGCACCCTTCATCAGGTGCAGTGGCTCATGCCAGTAATCCCAGTACTTTGGGAGGTTAAGGCAGAAGGGACTGCTTGCGTCTAGGAGTTCAAGACCAGTCCAGGCAACATAGCAAGACTGTCTCTACAAACAATACAAAAAAAAAAAAAAAATTAGCCGAGTGTGGTGGCACGTGCCTGTAGTCCCAGGTACTCAGGAGGCTGAGGTGGATCACGTGAGCCTAGGAGGCTGAGGCTGCAGCAGGCTGTGATCGAGGTCACTGCACTCAGCCTGGGTGACAGAGACCCTGTCTCAAAACAACAAAAAAACCTAGCACCCTTACCCACACCCTCTCACATCACTTTATTTTCTATTTATTTATTTTAAGATGGGGTTTCACCATGATGGCCAGGCTGGTCTTGAACTCCTGACCTCAGGTGATCCACCCACCTCGGCCTCCCAAAGTGGAGGCCAATTACAGGCGTGAGCCACCATGCCCGGCCCACTTTTATTTTCTAAACAGTACTTCTCACTATTGTTTACTGTCTCCTTCCTTCACTAAATTCTAAGCTATTGAGGGAAGGGGCTGTTTTATTTATTGTTGTATCTAGAACAAGCTTGTCCAACCTGTGGCCCACAGGCCACATGCGGACCAGGAAGGCTTTGAATGCAGCTCAACACAAATTCATAACGTTCTTATAACATTATGAGATTTATGCAGACATTTTTTTAAACCTCCTCAGCTACTGTTAGTGTATTTTATGTGTGGCCCAGGGAAGCCAAAAGATTGAATACCCTGATCTAGAATAATGCCTGGTATCCATTAGACTTAATGAGTATTGACTGACTGAAATATCCACATCTTATCAGTTATCAAATCTTAAATATATTCTACCTCCTAAATTATCTCAAATCTCTGACCACTGTTCCTGCCTTACAGCTAACTTGTGTCTCACCTAATGATTGCCATAACCATTTCCAGTCCTGCTCTCCTACCATCCACATTCTGAATTGCTGCTGAAATGATCCTAGTCCTTCAACAGATCCCCACTACCTTTAGGATAAGTCTAAATTCTTTAGCAAAGCATACAGAGCTCTCCAAAATCTGGACCCTGGCTAATTCCTCAGTTTCAATTCTTGCCAGCCCTTCCATGTGCACCATGCTCTAACCATTCCTAATTCTTTAGTCACATGCTCATTGCACATGCTATTTTTTCTGCCTGCAACGATACCCATTCCCTGCCCCTATTGCTTTCTTTGCCTAATTCAAGCTAGTAATCTCTGGAAAGGTTTCCCTTAGATCCAGAGTTGGGATTACTCTGTACCTTCAAAGTATGCCATATGTATTTTATCATTTCACTTATCACACTCTTGCATGGACTTGTCTAACATTAGACCATGAGCGGTATTCACAGAACCTAGCACAGTGCTTGGTAGAGAGTAGTCAAGAAAGGGTTACTGAAATGAAATTCACCAATCTATTCCTTATAACCAGGTTTTCCCTCCAGACTGCTTTACCATCTGTACTTCTACACCCTGACCAGTGGTGATGCTAAGTACCTTTGGAGGAAAAAAAAAAAAAAAAAAATCACACCACAATAAATTGGTACCATTTTAAATTAAGTCTTCAACCTCCCTTGTACATAAAGCATCCAGTAATCCTTTCATGGATCCCTGGTCAGCTCCAACTCCCATTTTACTCAGTGACTATTATAAAATTAAAAACAAAAATGCTTAGATTTATTTTCTTGAGATGGAGTCTCACTCTGTCACCCAGGCAGGAGTGCAGTGGCCCAATCTTGGCTCACTGCAACCTCCACCTTCCAGGTTCAAGCAATTCTCCTACCTCATCATCCCAAGTAGCTGGGACTACAGGCACGTACCACTGCACCCAGCTAATTTTTGTATTTTTAGTAGATATGGGGTTTTGCCATGTTGACCAGGCTGGTCTCAAACTCCTGGCCTCAGGTGATCCACCTGCCTTGGCCCCAACAAAGTGCTGGGATTACAGGCATGAGCCACCACGCCCAGCCTGCTTAAACTTACTTAGAAAGGTCTGAAGTGAAAAAAATGAATCCCCACTCCCGATTCCACCTCACTCTTAAGAGATGTTAACAGTCTGAAGTACATCTTGCCCCATCTTTTCTTTGGGTATATAAACATGGATTTCTTCCCCTTTGCCCTCTAAACAAATGAATCATCACTACCTACTAATTTTTTCCCAAGAATATCTTTTCACCTAGCACATATAGATTTTGTTTTTGTTGTTTGTTTTGAGACAGTTTCACTTGTTGCCCAGGCTGGAGTGCAATGACTTGGTCACGGCTCACTGCAACCTTGGCATCCAGGTTCAAGCAACTCTCCTGCCTCAGACTCCTGAGTAGCTGGGATTACAGGCCCACACCACCATGCCTGGCCAGTTTTGCATTTTTTTTAGTAGAGATGGGGTTTCACCATGTTGGTCAGGCTGGTCTTGAACTCCTGACGTCCAATGATTCACCCGCCTTGGCTTCCCAAAGGGCTGAGATTACAGGTGTGAGCCATTGCGCCCAGCTGATTTTCCTCATTCTTTTAACAGCTGCACACTTTTTAACTGAATGGATATACCATAATTCAAACTCTCTGCTACTGATGGACATTTAGCTTGTTTCCAGTTTCTCATTATACCCTACAGGACAAGTATTCAAGCCCCTAGTCCCATTTTCACTTTTGTCACAAGGGTGATCTTACAGTTTCACAGAGGAAGCTGAAGCTATGAAGCGAGAACTCATCAATTTCCTATCTCCCTATATGCACTGATATATAACTACATCCATTCTTTCCTCTCAGGATAAAAGATCTCTCAAGGCAGTGTCTCCACCCATGTTAGCTAACACCCTCTCCCGTTTTCACAGGTCCTTCCAACAATTATCCTTTCTTCCTTCCCCTAGGCCTACATAGGTATACTTATTTCCACCTTAAGACTCTCCCTCTCCCTAGCTTCTTAAAATAGTTGTCTATGGGCCAGGCACAGTGGCTCATGCCTGTAATCCCAGCACTTTGGGAGGCTGATGCAGGCGGATCACTTGAGGTCAGGAGTTTGAGACCAGCCTGACCAACATGGAGAAATCCTGTCTCTATGTTTAAAAAAAAAAAAAAAAGAGTAGTCTATGATCTCTATCATCACTTCCTCACCTTCCATTTGTTCCTTGCCCCAGTGCTGGTGGGATTACAATCTTACTACTCTGCTAAAACTGTTTTGATTGCTCAGGTTACCAGGGACCTACTAGTTGCCAAATCCAAATGCTCTCTCTCGGGCTTGACTTATTTTAATTTTCTGTGGTAAATATATTGTCTTTTTTTCTTCCTTAAATCCCTTCTCTGGTTTGAGAAACACCACTCTTCAGGATTTCTATTTCTGACTACCCCTAAATACTGGTCTTCACCAGGAGTCTGTCCTCCATACTCTGACTCTACACATGTTTCCTGGGTGATCTCACCTACTTCCAAGATTATACAAATCCCATACTTTATACATACCATACTTCAAACTTAACATGCTTCCAACTAAGCTTAGTTGTTTCCCCTAGCTTCCACCCTCTACCTGTTCAGTAAATGGCATCACCATTTATCCAGTCACTCAAATCAGAAACCTAGGTTCCACTCCCTTTCAATTATCCAATCAGTCACCAAGATATATCACTCATTCCATCCCTGCTGCCAATGCCTCAGTGACAGTTTTGGCCTCCATTATGGCTTATCTGGCATCGCCCCTTTCATACTGCTGCCAGAGCGATCACTTTAAAATGAGCATTTGATTCTGAGCTTGTGATCACTATACTATGTATGTTCCGTGCATTCCAGCTGTCGATAACTACTTGTAGTTCTATGAACATGTTTCATGCTAAGCATTCTGTTCCCTCTGCTTAGAATGCCTTCCCACCCCCATCCCTATGACAATCTGGTAAATTCCTTTGCACTCTCCATGATATTAAGGGTCTCCTCTGTGAAGCATTCTTTTTCTTACTTCATAGAGTCAAGAACTTTTTCCTCTCACTAGGGATTCTTGTAAATATTTATTGCAATAATCGCTTTTTATTAGACTTCTTCATTTACATATCCTACCTCTCATTCTAAACCCTAAGTTCCTTGCAGTCAGGGACTCATTGTACTCCTGTATCAGCATCTGGCAGGCTGCTTATAAAAACAGGTGGCTTGGTCAGGTTCAGTGGCTCATGCCTGTAATCCCAAGACTTTGGGAGGCTGAGGTAGATGGACCACTTGAGGTCGGGAGTTCGAGACCAGCCTGGCCAACATGGCGAAACTCCGCCTTGGTTGGATGCAGTGGCTCATGCCTGTAATCCCAGCACTTTGGGAGCGCAAGGTGGGCGAATCACCTGAGGTCAGGAGTTTGAAACCAGCTTGGGCCAACATGGCAAAACTGTCTCTACTGTCTCTACTAAAAATACAAAAATTAGCTGGGTGTGTTGGCAGGCACCTGTAAATGCCAGCTACTCAAGAGGCTGAGGCACAAGAATTGCTCGAACCTGGGAGGCAAAGGTTGCAGTGAGCTGAGTTCGCACCACTGCACTCCAGCCTAGAAAAATGAGCCTGGCGTGGTGATGCGTGCCTGTAATCCCAGTTAGTCAGGAGGCTGAAGCAGGAAAATCACTTGAACCTGGGAGGCGGAGGTTGCAGTGAACCCAGATCGTGCCACTGCACTCCAGCCTGGCAAACAGAGGGAGACACCATCTAAAAAAACAAAATAGGTGGCATGATAAACGTTAAAATAAACCAATGAATACCATGTACTCACCCAATCCCCCCAACCAAAATTTTGGAAGCCACCTTCCATTCCTCCTTTTCTATTCCCTAAAGATCTCTCAAGTCTGTCCCCCTCCTCCCCATCCCAATGCCATAGCCCCAGTTTAGGATCCATTCTCTCTTACTTGAACTAGATCCATCCAAACCATTCTCCATACTACTGCTGGAATTTTAAAAAAAATATTTATTACAAAAATAATACATACTTGTAAAAAAATTCAAACAATACAGAAATAAAAGCACAATATCCTACCCTGCACACATACAAACACAGAAGCCCCCTCCCCTCCAATCCCGTTCCTGGGGGGAGGGTTATCATTGTGAACAGTTAGCATATCCTTTCAGACTTTTACTTTGCATATACAAGTATATATAAACACATATAAATAAACAAACATGGTTCTGTCTTTTACAAGAATGGGATCACATGTATCTGTTACATAAGTCTTCAATTTTTCTTCATTCATTACACAGATTTCTAAAACACAAACCTGATTATATCACTCCTCTGAGAGCTTATTTCCCAGAATATAAAATCATACGCATTAACATCAAACACAAAGCTTGTGATTATATGGTTCCTGCCCCATCTTTCAGTCTCATCTCTAGCCATTCCAGCATTAAAGGACTGGAATATAAACCACCTTAAATCCTTCCTGGAACAAGGCAGGTACAAACAAACAAACAAACAAACAAGGAACACACTCTGTCATTTCTAGACTGTGGCCTTTCCACTTCATATTACACTTTGCCTGGACATTTCCATCTGGCAAGCTTCTACTAATTCTTCAACAATCAGCTAAAGATTACCTGTAGGGAAGACTTCCCTGATTTTTCAGACATGATTACTCCTCTATTTCCCCTATACTTTATAGCTAGCTTCTTAATTGCACTTATCTCACAGTACTATGATGATTTATTAACATGTTTTTAATTCCACTTCCCCTCCCCCAACTCGATGGTGAGCTCTTTGAATAAAAGGGATTATCTTATTTACCTTTGCATCCCAAGGATCTGATAGAGTGCTTATCATGAAAGCAGGTGCTCAGTAATGTTATCTGTTGAGGATTTTATGATTCTACGAACATTTACTGAGTACCTACAATGCACAGAATCATATCCTAAGCATGAAAAGAAACAGAAGACAGAGTCTTTGCTCTAAGAAACTTACCATTTTCCTACCATTTCCCCCGGGGGCGGGGGGGAAAGACAGAAACATTTAGATGGCACCATTATCATTTCTGACATAAGGGCTGTTTAAAATTTACGGTCATTGCCTCAAATCCATTTAGGAACTAGGCATTGCATAATTAAATAAATAATAAAATGGGTGGGTTGTCTCATAAGTGTAAGTGTAGCAGAGAGTCCACTAGAACCCAATTCTCTGTCTCAGCAAGAGGGCTCTCATCTGTTCCAGCCTGTAAATTAGAAAAGTGAGATAATACCATGCTTGGAAATAGTTGGTTTTTTTTTTTTGAGATGGAGTCTCACTCTTTCGCCCAGGCTGCAGTGCAGTGGCGTGATCTCCACTCACTGCAATCTCTGCCTCCCAGGTTCAAGCAATTCTCCCGCCTCAGCCTCCTGAGTAGCTAGGATTACAGGCATGAGCCACCATGCCTTGCTAGTTTTTCTATTTTTAGTAGAGATGAAGTTTCGCCATGTTGGCCCAAGCTGGTGTCGAACTTCTGACCTCAGGTGATCCGCCCGCCTCGGCCTCCCAGAGTGCTGAGATTACAGGTGTGAGCCACCACGCCCGGCCGGAAATTTCCTAATACATCAAGAGGACATAAAGTTACTAGTTCTTTCATAATTTCCCCTCCTTCCCAGGGAAAAATTATACCAAAAGTGGTTAAATGGACTTAAAGGGGGACACGGAAGAATAGCTTGCTCTTTTTGATAGTGGTAGGGAAAAGGGGATTGCTTTGTTTTAAACCACAGGTGACATTGCCCCAATAAGATCAGGAGAGGTGATTCATTATCATTTACTTACTATTTTTAAAAAGGGTAAGGTGTTAGTTAATCCCATGATTTCAGGATCAGATACTGTACAATACGAACAAATTGGGGAAAGGTGAACCACCTAGGCTGGAGAACAGGAAGGCTGACCAAGGAGGCCCAAAGGAAAGGAAGCCTCATTCATCAGAGTCCAAGTCACTATCCCCAGCAATGGAGTGGAAATCCTCACTGTCCTCCTCGTCCTCTGACAGGTGGACCTGGCTTAGTACGCTCGGCCCAGAGCGCTGCTCTTCCTCCTCCTCATCTTCTTCCTCCTCTGATACCTCATACCCACCGATGCTGCTGAAGCTTGTGTCTTGGGTGTTCGACTTGGGATCAGGCTCCTCATAGCTCCCATAACTGAGAAGAGAAACATGTCATCTCTCAAGCTCGGACACCATTCTCTAGCTGGCCATTCCCATTCTTAGTGCCACCAAATGATCAGCCCATCTCACCTCCCCTGGATACTAAAGTGACTGGTTCTGGACTGTTCTACATGTCCCTGAGAGAAAAATAATCCTGTTCAAAAACATCAACTTGCCAACTTCATATACCTGAATGAAACTCCCTTACAACTGAACAACACACTGCCATCTCACATGACCACAAATGCTCTGTCAGCCTCATGGTTTCATCTACCACTTACAGTATCCAATTAGTCAATAGTCCTGAAGATTCTCTCTTTGATATATCTTGTCTCTATCCCCTCCTTTCCATTCCTACTGTGCCTGCCTTTGCGTAGTCCTTTGTTATCTCCGGCCTGCACTACTGAAATAAGTCGTTATGCCTCCAGTCTTGCTCTCTTCCAATTACTTCTTCACATTTCTGCCAGAGTGCTCTTTATTTTTTGTTTGTTGTTTATTCTTAATTTTACTTGAAAAAAAAAATCACACAAGTAATGCATGTCCACTGGTTAAAAAAATTAAACATACACCAGAAAAAAAAAAAGTATCATCAATAACTTCATCATCCAGAGATAACCTTTTGGTATATACCTTCCAATATTTTTTGTGCACTTTAGATGCTTAAACACTTTTATCTGACTTACAAATTGGGATAGTCTACATACGCTCCAGGAATCTGCCTTTTTCACTAATCATTATAATAAACATCTTTCTATGTCAATAAACATATGTCTATAGTATAATTTTAATAGCTACATGGCATTCCACCATATGGCTGTAACATGACACTCTCTCACTAGGACATTTAAGCTGTCTCCAGTTTTTCCACTATTAGAAACAATGCTGTCATAAGCATCCTTACACAAACATCTTGATGGTGTGTTAATTATTCCATAAAATGATTTCCTAGATGTGGATTTTTTGGGCCAAGGGGGATGCACATTCTTAAACTTTTTTTTTTTTTTTTTTTTGAGGCAGAGTTTCGCTCTTGTTACCCAGGCTGGAGTGCAATGGCGCAATCTCGGCTCACCGCAACCTCTGCCTCCTGGGTTCGGGCAATTCTCTTGCCTCAGCCTCCTGAGTAGCTGGGATTACAGACACACGCCACCATGCCCAGCTACTTTGTTGTATTTTTAGTAGAGACAGGGTTTCACCATGTTGACCAGGATGGTCACGATCTCTTGACCTCATGATCCACCTGCCTCGGCCTCCCTAATAAGGACTGGGATTACAGGCATGAGCCACCGCGCCTGGCCTCTTAAACATTTTTATTTATGATGATAAATTGCTAAGACTCTCTCCAAACCACCCCATTTTATCAAGTGACATTATCACCAGTAGTTTGAGATTATCTTTTTCCTCATACCCTTTCCAAACACTAGGCATTATTATTATTCATTTTAATCACCAATTTGATAGGTAAAAAATTGCACTTCATGATTTTACTGCATTTATTAGGGAAGTTATTTTTTTCTTTTTTTTATTTTTGAGACAGAGTCTCGCTCTGTCACTATGCTAGAGTGCAGTGGCACAATCTCAGCTCACTGCAACCTCCACCTCCCAGGTTCAAATGATTCTCCTGCCTCAGCCTCCCAAGTAGCTAGGACTACAGGCACGTACCACCATGCTCAGCTAATTTTTATATTTTTAGTAGAGACGGGGTTTTCACCATGTTGGCCAGGATTGTCTCGATCTTTTGACCTTGTGATCCATGTGCCTCGGCCTCCCAGAGTGCTAGGATTACAGGTGTGAGCCACCACACCTGGCCGAAAGTTACTTTTTCATATATTTATTGGTCATTTGCACTTCTTTTGTAAATTAGTTCATGCCTTTGCCCATTTTTCTTTTGGGGCACAGAACAATCTTTCTAAAATGTAAATCTGATCATACTAACCTCATTCAATGACTACCCAGAACTTTCAGGCCCTTCATGATTTGGTATTTACCTTCCTCTTTAAATCATTTCTATCACACGAATTATAGATCTTACATGAATCAATCAAAAATTTCCAGTCACACTGAGCTACATGTGTTCTCTAAAAGTATTTCATGCCTGTGTCCATAAATGCTCTTCCTAGTCTCTGGAATGCCTATTGCTTTCTTTTTCATTTAGCTAATTCCTATTCATATCTGGCTCAGCTCCCCTCCCCCACCTCTACCTAAGTCCTAGAAAAACCCTGTGGTTGCTTATCACAGAACTTTTCATATTACACTGTGATTGCTAGTTTACCTGTTTTAGGTTTCCTACCAGACTGAGCTCCTTGAAGGAAGGGACCATATCTTAGCTGTTTCTGTACCTATGATAAATATGTGCTGAAATAAAAAATTTGTTTACAATGTTATTTGCATATTATTTGCTTGCTGGTTAGATGTATCATAGGTACGTTAAATCCAACATGTCCAAAGCCAAATCCAAATCCGTTTTTTCCTCCTTTACTACCCCATCTAATACATATTCTTCCTCTTTCCTCTACCAGAGACATTCCCATTCATCATTCATCTAACCTCCTTACCTCTTTATGTCCCTTTATTTTCCCCACTCCTGACAGGTCCCTATTGATATCCTGATCATCTGTCCTACAACATCCTAAGTTGTACAAATTTTATGTTACTTCCTTTTCCTTAAACTGATGACTCCTATTACGCACAGGTTAAGGTCCAAACGTCTTAGCATGCCTTCTGAAGTCCTCCACAATATAATCCCCCTTGCTACTTCTGAAGCCTCAACTCCCAGCAACTTTCTATGTGTTCTATTTCTGTGTCTTTGAACACATTGTTCCATCAATAAAGATCTCCCTACCCTCTGCCATAATACTTACTTAGTAAACTTCTATTTATCTTTTAAGCCCTAATTCAAATGTTCCCTTGCCTGTGAAACTTTCCCTGGTAACTCCAAGCAGAGTGAGACATTACCTCCTCCGTGGTGCCTTGGCACTTTGTCTTACTTAATGCTATAGTATTTATCACATTATATTTATAATTATTTGTTTGTATCAGTCTCTTTCACTAGTATGTGAGCTCTTCAAGGGCAGGATATATTTTGCTCCTCTGTGTATCCCCAGGGCTTAGCACAGTGCCTGGCCCTAGTAGGTAGGTGCCCAGGAATGTTTGATGGATGAAAAGTAATCTGATGCTGGGCCCCTTGACATCATAGTGGTCACTGATGCCACAGCCCTGTAGCATGTTGCTGCCGATTACCTGATGTTGCTATCCTCCAAACCATGGGAAGCCTCCCCACCGTCTCCCTCATAGGACATCATGCTTTCTTCATTTTCCATGCCCATCCTTGTGTTTTCCTGAAGCATGCGGGGTTGTTTGGGTCTTATTCCACCAGATCCCACATCAGAGTCACTTCCACTTTCACTCAGCTGGATAGCTATTAAAAGAGACAGATTTTTAAGCTTGACAGAATTAACATCTTTGGCTTGATCTTCCCAAACTAGTCACTCTCACACATCTACACAGGCATCTTGCCTATACTCGTCACCTCAAAGGCCTCTCTTGTAACTGCCTAGGGTCAACAGTAGCAAGGTTTGTAGTTTAGAATCTGAATCCAAATAACAATTTCCTTTTCCATCTCAGGCCAACCTATCTGTATTTTTTCTACCATCTCCTCCCATACTTTTCCCTGGCCCTTGCCATTAATCCACAAAACATTCCCAAACAGTATCTTAATTTTCTTAATTTTCCTTCCCTGTTGCCACATATAACATCTTGCCACTCTGTTCTCATCTTTTTTTTTCCTTTGGAGACAGAGTCTCACTTTGTTGCCTAGGCTGTAGTGCAATGGTATGATCATGGCTCACTGCAGCCTTGAAGTTCTGGGCTCAAGCGATCTTCCTGCCTCAGACTCCTGAGTAACTAGGACAATAGGCATCCGCCACAAAACCCAGCTAATTTTTATTTATTTACTTTTTGTAGAGACTGGGTGTCACTATGTTGCCCAGGCTGGTCTAAAACTCTTGGTCTCAAATGATCCTCCTGCCTTGGCTTCCCAAAGTGCTGAGATTACAGGTATGAGCCACTGTGCCCAGCCTTTAACAAATATCCAAATCAAAGCTGTTACTTAGGCACTGTCTTTTCCACTGTTGTCTTTCGTACCTCCTGCTAATGAATATGATCATCCTATGCGTGAGTGCTCAGTACTCTCAGGTCTATTAATAGGAAATCAACAAAAGAGGCAGCTTCCAATAAAAGTATATGTGGCCAAGAGTGCCAATCCAGTCCAGTCCTGAGGGCGCTATAGTGAGTTATATAAAGGAATAGAAGCAATCGTCAAAGCCTACCAGAGAAAGGATTGTCTCCTTCTTCATCACTCCCAGCATCTTCCTCATCATCTTCTCCTTCAGACATAAGCAAATCCTCATACAGGACACTGGCTTGAGGCTGCTGTACAGTTCCTTCCTCTTCATCTGCAAGATCACCATCTCCATCTTCACCTTCCTGAATGAGACCAGTTGGGGGTCAAAGTCCTATCAACTGACCAGAGACCAGAAGCCACCACCAGGTACCTCCCTCACCCACCCCTCCACTTGCTGCCTCACAAGAAGTTAAGTATTTTTGGTGGATAGATTGTTTAGTTGGTCCCAAGGATTAAAGTCTAATTGGGGCTCACTAAGGAGACCACTTGATATCACCTGAGGATTTGGCCTGCCCTGTACTGATGGGGTGCCTAACATATAAGGGTATAACATAACCATAAGCTTTCTGTAAGCATACTCACTGGGGCTGGAGTCTTAGGTTTCCCATCCTCCTCCTCATCATCATACCCTTCAATATCTACATCAGAGTCTTCCTCGCCCAGCCTACCTCCGCCCTGGCGCATCTGAGTAAGAACACAAATAGCACATCATTGAGGGATGTGCCTGTAGGAGGAGTTAACCAAGGGCTCTCACCCAAAATGGATGCTCCTCCCTGATATCCCAGCCAACCCCACTGCTAGTGGGGGCTGTTTACACAGCTCAAGGCATGCGCATTTTCAGCCATTCTTTGGAAATCACAGCCAGAGTAAAAAACCCAAAGAACAGGAAAGGCACTTAGTCCACTCTTACTATATCATTACAAAGAGACTCTTCCTTTCTAACCCCAAACTTTCCTTATACCTTGTGTTGAACTCTTTGGCATAGAAAAACTCTATTAGGTTTTACACTTTCCAGTGGAACCCTGACTGAGAATAGCTATAGGATTTCTGGCTTCAGACTAGGAGTATCTTCTGATACCTCTAGAAAAGGCCAATTTAAAAAATTATTTTATAAATAATTTTGATTTAAATTATAACACACATAAAGTAGGCCAATTATTTTGAACTGTCTGAGTGCAGTTGGTTGTTCTAGTCACCTATCATGCTACTCTGATGCATCATACACTTTTTTCGTACTTGGTGCTTTCCCTAAAGTTCTGCTGTGCCTGACTCTGCCCATGGGGACAGACAAAAGATAACACCAGTCACGCCACCTGCCACCATCCCACCTTGAAATCCCATTTCTTTTCTTTTTTTTTTTTTGAGACAGAGTCTAGCTCTGTCACCCAGGCTGGAGTGCAGCGGCACAATCTCGGCTCACTGCAACCTCCACCTCCTGGGTTCAAGCAACTCTCCTACCTCAGCCTGAGTAGCTGAAATTACAGGTGCCTGCCACCATGCCCAGCTAATTTCTGTACTTTTAGTAGAGACGGGGTTTCACTGTGTTGGCCAGGCTGGTCTCGAACTCCTGATCTCGTGATCCGCCCGCCTCGGTCTCCCAAAGTGCTGGGATTACAAGTGTGAGTCACTGCGTCCGGCCTTGAAATCCCATTTCTAAGCTTTCATTCCCAGGGCCAAAGGGCCCAGTCATTCTTGACATATGTCACATATCACCACCACCATTCCTTTAGCCCCACTTGCAGGCATAATACCAATCTTACAGAGAGAAAAAGAAAATCCTACCTGTGTTACCTGCTTTTCTGGAGTGGCAGTGGGAATATCCAAGACCGACATATTGCTCTCATCTTGAAATACAGAGGCATCTCGAGACATACTGAGGGATGTGTTGGTATCATACAAATCAGGAGGCTGTGGCACAAAACATACAATTTAGCTTCTTATATAGGAAAGGGATAACAAATACAGATAATTCCCCTTTAAAGCATTTACTGCAGAAAAATATCATGCAGAGCAATTCAGTTAAAGAGAAACGCAGTTTGATACAGCTTTACAGACAAGTTTTTGGGACTCATAAACCTATTCTAGTATACAGGTGCCTGATGCATGTAATCAGAAGCCTGAAGCAGAAATGCACCAAAGCTATGGGACAATTTTATGTCCTAATAGCCTTTCTGGTCAATAACCTAGTTTTTTCTAAGCCTTGTCTTTTGGTTTTTAGGCCCAAGGCTTCATATCAGTGCTATTTTGATTGTTTGATTAGGAGACATCTAAGAAGAAATGAGATAAAGGAATTTCAATTCCAACAAGAACATGGAATGCTTTGATAGTTTATGAGCCCATCAGAGGATGCCCAGAAGCAAAATGGCATGGTGAAAAACCATAGGCTTTGGAGTAAAATGCCCTGGGTTTGAGTCCTGGCTCCAGTACTTGCTAGCTGAGTAACTAACAAATTACTTAACATCTCTAAGCCCTGGTTGACTCAACTACAAAAAAAAACATGGATGATAATGTCTACCTCACAGGGTTGTTGTGAGAATTAAGAGATGTGTAAGTTCCTTACCCAATGCCTGGTACTCAATAAATTATACATCCCTTCCCTGTTGTCTCCCCTGAAAAGAACAGGGATTTAGCAAATGGACTATTCAGTGACAGGAGGGCAAAAGGGACTAAAGTGCTCACAGTATAATATAAAGTGAAAAGAGTAAGACACAAAACTGTATTGATCATATTTCATTTTAAATATAAACACAAATACAGACACTACAGATATGAAAGAAATCAAAATATTCACAGTGGTTGATGTTGCTTCTGAGTGGTGGAAGTGATTACAAGTAACTTATTTCTTTTTATTTTCCAATCTTCCCTAATGAACATGTTATTTTTATCAAAAACCCATATATGTGTTACACTGTGTTTTCTAAAAAAGAAAACAAGACTGATTCAGAAGAGGGTTTTGGAAAAATAGAGACAAAACAAAATTCAAGGCATTACAGAGCAGATAAATCAGTGTGCAACAGAAGGAGGGAAAAATAAAGGGATGAAATTTCTGTAAAACCTTACAGCACAGTGTAGAAAACCGCAAAGTCAACACTTTTAAAGTGTTATATTGAACAGATGATGCAATGCAAGTTAGGTGGAAACAGTTGAGTGAAAATACATTACTGACTACCACCATTTAGAAGTTGGAAGGTATGATTACTATCATGCTTCTTACAACCAAAATTTTATTAAGACAGGTTAAACTTTTGCAAACACACTCTGTAACATCCGAGTTTGAGAATAGTAATGTGTGAGGACAGTCACTCATGTACACCTTGCTCAGGTTAAGAGGTAATGAGTTGGTTACTACTGTTTGTGAATGAAGGGGGATGATGAAAAAGTGAACTGGAATAATGAAGCAGTACTATCTAATCCTACTCTTCATAAGAAACCCTCTAACTGCACCAAACAACGGCTAATACTCAAGAGAGAGAATAGTTGACAGGTTTTCCTTAGCCATTTGAGGCAGTGTGGGAGATGTAGGGAAGAAAGGAAGGTGACTTTGGGGTCCAAGGCTTTTGACTCACCAAAGGACTAGGCTTAGGCTGTCCTAGAAATGAGCAAACCATGTGCCATTCAATGGCTAGACTCTCCTGGGGAATGATGGCTAATACCCAGGCTTTAACTTACCAGAAAGTACCTTGTGGAAGCTGTGGGCCTATTAGCAAATAGGGCCTTCCTGGGCAACATCACTCACCCAAGCCCCCTTGACCCAATCTGCCCACACAATCCAAGAGCCTTTCCTTGTTCTGGACCTTGAAGAAGTATCTGAGGGTTCTTTTATACCTGGCCCCTCAGTAACCTAGGTTGTGGGATGAAAGAGAGAGTAAAAGATAGATAGGGATAGTGCATGAACGAGATTTAGAGACAGCAATAATCCAACAGAGGTCACACAGGTTGCATTATCAGTTCAGAAGAAAACCTGGATAGAATGAAAAAAAAATTTCCTGGGGAAATTGGCAGAGTTCTGCCTTAAAATATTTCATTAAATTTGAAAGGGCCTCAGAGAACAGATAAAGAAACAAGCATTTACTGAATGTTTACTATGTGTCAGGCAAATTAAATTAATTCATTTAATGTTTACAACATCTTGAAAAGATTTTAGAGAAAAAGAAACTGAGAGTCAGGTTAACTTTCCAAGATCACAATGCTAGACAGAAGGAAAACTAAAACTCAAACCCAGGCCTGTTTTATGTCAAATCTTATGTACTTTCCACCCTACCATAGTGCCACCGATACAGAAACCAAGCAACAGTGATATTCTGTAAAGTCCTATTCTTCAAATATACCAAACCCTCTAAGAGTACAGTATAGAGGAAATATACTCTTAGTGTATTTCAAGGGTTCAGTCAGACCAGAAAGACTAAAAATTTCTTATTTATCCTGCTCTTTAATTATTTTGACATGAACATTATAAACACTATCTTTCTTCATTTACTAGGAGTCAATCCAGGAAAATGGCTGACTTCTGAGCTACCCTGAGATACCTCTGAGGGAATGAGTGACCAAGTGTCTGTAAGGCACAAGAACAGTGTCCTATGTCTATAAGAAGTCTATACTCTAGGGATGTTCTAGAGTCCCAAATTCATGGACAAGAGAATTCCAGAGACCCAGAGGATGGCTGGGTCAGGAATCTGGTATTCCCAAACACTGCCTAAACAACTAAAGCCCCACCCCACTCATTCATCCCACAGCTGCCTCTTCTGGATTCAAGGCCACCAAGACCCATGGCCCTCACTCACCTTAGCCTTTGAGAAGACAAGAAAGCACACGAAAGGCATATGAAGAGGAAGGACAGAGAAGAATGGTATCTCAGTAAACGGATTTGTTAACATGCTCCCAATTTCCCAAACCAATAAGAAAACTATTAAGAGGAGGTATTTAGTCCTCGGACTCACCTGAGGTGTGTAGGGCCCTGGGGTCATTGGGTCCAGGCTTTCTAATTCTGCTTCCTCCAAAGCTGCTTCTTTAGCTGTACAAATATCCTTCTCGAGTTGAGTCAAATGCTCATCATACTGAGAAATAAAATAAATTCATTTGACATGTATTTTAAGTACTGGGGGTACAAAAGCCAACAAATCTTCATGGACAAATATCCCACTTATATTCTAGTGGCAGGACACAGATAATACAATAAATTAAGCAGGGAAGGAAATAGGGGATGTGGAGTTGGGGGACAGGGAATACTACATTTTAAAATAGGATAATCAGGGAAAGCTACTCGTTCAAGGGAACAGGATTTCAAAAAGCTAGATCCCAAGGGGACCTTCTTTTATTTTTTGAGACACAGTCTCGCTGTTGCCCAGGCTGGAATGCAGGGATATGATCACAGCTCACTGTAACGCTGACCTCCTGGGCTCAAATGATCCTCCTACCTTAGCCTTCCAAGTAGCTGGGACCATATGTATGCACCACCATACCCCACTAATTTTTAAATCTTTTTTGTAGAGATGGGGTCTCCCTATGTTGCCCAGGCTTGGGATCTCCAACTTTAACCACCTACCTCAGTCAATGTCTGGTAACAGACGTTCACAATCTCCTGAGCAGTCTTAGTATATTGACTCTCAGGCCCTATAAATAAAATAAGAAAGTGCCGTTATCTTATCTTTGCAGACTTGTACCAGAATTTTACATTGTCACCGGCAGTATGTCCCATTAACCTAGACCTAGAAAAATCATGCTTCAGCTTTAACATGGACTCTTGTTCTACTTCCAGAGGCAGTAAATTTCAAACATATGCAAAAATATACTAACATAATAAACTCCCATGTACTCACTAGCCAGCTTCAATGATTATTAACATGTGGCCAATCTTGTTTCATTTACTTCAATTTTCAGACTCAAATTTTTGTGTAGCAAATTCCAGTATCATAACAATTTTCCTTTAATTGTTCAGTATGGGTTGCTAAGGACACTTTTTTTTTTTTTTAAAAGACAGAATCTCACTCTGTTGCTCAGGCTGGAGTGCAGTGGTGCAATTTTAGCTCACTGCAAACTCCACCTTCCAGGCTCAAGCAATTCTTGTGCCTCAATCTCCTGAGTAGGTAGGATTACAGGCATGTGCCACCACGCCCAGCTAATTTTTACATTTTTAGTAGAGACAAAGTTGCCACGTTGGACAGGCTGCTCTCCAACTCCTGGCCTCTTAATAAGTGTTCCACCCACCTCAGCCTGCGAAAGTGCTGGGATTATAGGCATGAGCCACTGTGCTCAGCCTAAGGAGGCTTTAAATAAACAATTACGTATGATAATATAAGGTGGATACATGTCATTATACATTTTCAAAACCCATACAATGTATACACCACCACCAAGAATGAACCATGGACTTGGGGTGATAATGATATGTCAATGTAGGTTCATCAGCTAACACAATTAATATAGCACTTTGGTGCAGGATGCTATTTTTGTTTTTTTGACAGGGTTTCACTCCATCACCCAGGCTGGAATGCAGTGATACAATCATGGCTCACTGCAGCCTTGAACTTCTGTTGTAGGTATGTACCACCATGCCCATTTTTCTTTGTTTGTAGGGATGGGGGGGTCTCACTATGTTGCACAGGCTGGTCTTGAACTCCTGGCCTAAAGAATTCACTTACCTCTCTTTTCTCAGCCTCCCCAAAGTACTGGAATTACAGGCATACGCCACCATGCTCAGCCTGGTATAAGATGTTGTTAACTGGGGAGGCTATATGTATGTGAGGGAAGAAAGTATATGGAAACTCTCTGTAACTTCTGCTCAATTTTGCCATTAATTAAAGGTGCTCTACAAACCAACTATATCACATCTAAAATAATTAACAGTAATTCTTTAATACTATCACATAGACTGCCAAGATGCAAATTTCCCAAATTACTTTATAAACACTCTTTTGCATTTGATTTCTTTGAATCATAACCCAAAAAAGGTCCATACATCGTATTTGGCTGATGTGTCTCCTTAAGACAGTTTTACCTATAAAGATGATTCTTAACTATTACAGTTCCCCAAATGGCCTTAGTTACAAGTTGCAAACTGGTGGCTTGTAGTTTTATTTGGCTCACATAAAAAATTAGTTCAGTTTTAAAAAATGGATTCAGCTATACACTCATAATACATAAAACACTGTATTTAAGTTATATTTCAATGAAAGGGTTTTTGAAAAAAAAAAAAACTTAACAACTAAGTTAAATGTTACTAACATTTAACAGTTGTGAGATTTCACATAAAAACCTAAATTGTCTGGCTTCTTTTTTAGAAAATTTAAAAATGTGGCCAAGACAGGGTCAGCATTCCCACAAGGCACCAATGGGCTGGGCTGAGTAGCAGCTGCTCCTTTTAGATAAAGCCTGTGTTCTCCAGGTCCTCATAGTCCCCCCTCCCAGGTCTGCTTATCTTACGCCTAGACCCCGAAGGCATTTGAGTTTTCAATCCCTACCTTAAATACTTAAAATGTTCTTTAATATACTGATCATTCACTTATTTATTCATAAGACATTTTCTCAATACCTTTTGTGTGCCAGACACTGGAGATGATAGAAATGAGTGAGATATAGGTCATATCCTCAAGAAGTTTATAGCCTCGTACAGTGAGATTGACTGTAAACAAATATAGGGCAATACAATGCAGTAGAAAAAAAAAAACAGTGGCACAAAGGAAGTGGCTGATTCTGGGAGGTAAAAGGGGAAGAGGAATTAAGAAAGCCTTCACAAAAGGTGATCCCTAAATTAAACCTACGGTTTTATCAGGATATAAAGGATAAAAAATACCACAGCCAGGCACCGTGGCTCAAGCCTGTAATCCCAGCACTTTGGGAGGCCAAGGTAGACAGATCACTTGAGACCAGGCTGGCTGGCCAGCATGGCAACACCCTGTCTCTACTAATAATACAAAAATTAGCTGGGCATGGTGGTGCATACCTGTAATCCCAGCTACCTGGATAGCTGAGGCATGAGAATCACTTAAACCCGGGAGGCAGAGGTTGAAGTGAGGCAAGATCGCACCACTGCACTCCAGCCTGGGCGACACAGCGAGACTCTGCCTTAAATACACACACACGCACACACACACATACGAATTTCAAATTATACCACAAAGCTATAGTAACCAAAATGGCATGGTACTGACATAAAAACAGACATACAGACCAATGGCACAGAATAGAATACACAGACAGATATTAATCCATACACGGCCAACTCATTTTCAACAAAGGCAACAAGAACACACACTGGGGGAAAGGATAGTCTCTTTAATAAATGGTGCTGAGAAAACTGGATATCTCCATCTTTCACCATATATAGAAATCAACTCAAAATGGATTAAAGACAAATGTAAGACCTGAACTATAAAATTACTAGAAGAAACGCTATAGGATGCAAATCTGGGCAAAGTCTTTTTGGGTAAGACATCAAAAGCACAGACAACCACAAAAGCCAAACAGACAAAGGCACTCAAACAATCCAATAGCAAAAAAAAAAAAAAAAATCTGATTAAGAAATGGGCAAGGCCGGGCACGGTGGCTCACGAGGTCAAGAGATCGAGACCATCCTGGTCAACATGGTGAAACCCCAACTCTACTAAAAATACAAAAAATTAGCTGGGCATGGTGGCATGTGCCTGTAATCCCAGCTACTCAGGAGGCTGAGGCAGGAGAATTGCCTGAACCCAGGAGGCGGAGGTTGCGGTGAGCTGAGATCGCACTATTACTCTCCAGCCTGGGTAACAAGGGTGAAACTCCATCTCAAAAAAAAAAAGAAAAGAAAAGAAATGGGCAAAAGAGAGAGATCCAAGACGGCTGATTACTAGCAGCTCAGGATTGTAGCTCCCAGTGAAAGCACAGAGAACAAGAGGACGCCACACTTTCAGACGAATTTTTGTTGCTCACTGACCAGGCGATTCCCAGCAGAGGAGCCCCATGGGTTGCCAGCGCGACTCTTGTGGCCGGCGCAGCAGCGGTTTTGCCAGCACCCCAGCGTGGCAGTTCTTGGTGCAGAGTTAACGGGACTGGGTCCCCTTTTGGTCGATGTTTGGAGCTCCAGGAAGGCAGAGTCGCCTATTCAGCTGATTGAAAAAGGGACTCAAGAAGGAAGCCAGACTGGAGATTCCCAGGCAGAAAAGCACCTTAACGCTGTTTCTTAAGATTCAGTTAAACTGAATCTTAACGCTGCTGTTTTAGCCAGTGCAGTGGGTTGCTCAGATTCTGGCACTGGGAATCAACAAGTTGGATGTCCACTCAGAGACCTAACTTAAAGTCAGTAATTACAAAGATGACAGGTGGATAAATTTACAATGATGGGAAGAAACCAGTGTAAAAAGGCTGAGAATACCCAAAATCAAAATGCCTCTCCCTCTACAGGGGATCACAGTTCCTCATCAACAAGGGAACAAGGCCTGATGGAGAACGAGTGTGTTCCAATAACAGAATTAGGCTTCAGAAGGTGGATAATGAGAAACTTCTGTGAGTTAAAGGAACATGTTCTGGCCTAGTGTAAGGAAGCTAAGAACCTTGAAAAAGGGTTTGACGAAATCCTAATGAGAATAGACAATCTAGAGGAGTATGGGTGAATTGATGGGACTGAGGAATACAGTATGAGAACTCCACGAAGTATGCACAGGTTTTAACACTTGAATTGATCAAGCAGAAGAAAGGATATCAGAGGTCGAAGACCAACTTAATGAAATGAAGCGAGAAGACAAGATTAGAGAAGAAAGAGTAGAAAGGAATGAGTAAAGTCTCCAGGAAGTATGGGACTATGTGAAGGGACCTAGTTTACATTTGATAGGTGTACCTGAGTGTCATGAGGAGAATGAGTCCAAGCTGGAAAATATTCTTCGGGATATTGTTCAGGAGGATTTTCCTAACCTAGTAAGGCAGGACAATACTCAACTCTGGGTAATACAGAGAACACCACAGAGTTGTTCCTCAGGGGGAGCAACCCCAGGACATATGACTGTTAGATTCACCAGGGTTGAAATAAAGGAGAAAATTTTAAGGGCAGCTAGAGAGAAGGGTCGGGTTGCCCATAAAGGGAAGCCTACTGGACTCACAGCAGATCTCTCAGCTGAAACCCTGCAGACTAGAGGAGAGTGGGGGTCAGTGTTCAATATCCTTGGAGAAAAGAATTTTCAACCCGGAGTCTCATATCCAGCCAAACTAAGCTTCATAAATGAAGGAAAAATAAAATTTTTCAAGAACAGGCAAGCACTCAGAGACTTCATCACTATCAGGCCTGCTTTGTAGGAGCTTCTGAAAGAAGCACTATACACAGAAAGGAACCACCAGTATCAGTCATCCCAAAAACTTACCAAAAGGTAAAGAGTATCTACATAATGAAGAATCTCTATCAACTGATGGGCAAAATAGCCAGCTAGCATTAAACAACAATATTAAACTCACAAATATCAAATTTATCCTAAATTTAAATGGATTAAATGCCCCAATCAAAGATATAGACAGGCAAATTGAATAAAAAGTCAAAACCTATTGGTATGCTGTATCCAGATCCATCTCATAGGCAAGGATGCACAAAGGGTTGGTGGAAGACTTACCAATCAAATGGAGAGAAAAAAAAACAAAAAACAGGAGTT